TGTCTAGACGTTGGTTTGCTAAGTGCTATTTGCAGATGTCGGTGCTGAATCCTGCATATCACCTGCAGCATTCATCTATTGGATTGGTGGAGGATTGACAACAGTCAATGGCACGATGGCCTCATCATATAAGCGTCCTTTCATCTCCCTGTGATCCTGGCACAAGACACACCAGTGCACCAAGCATGGGTCACAGGGTGAGTTCCGCTGAGAAATGAAAATATGACACCATACATGATACAATAGTGCCTCTAAATTGCATGACTATTGGATCTCTTTTCATAAATCTCCCTTTTATGTTCCAAATGTAGACAAAACAGATAAGCGACCCAGGAAAAAGAGATCAAATGATCTCCTTTTAAAGGGAAATCTAATAATTGTCAACTAAAAGGTATTTCTTAATTACTGGTAATGAATATTATATGCGTTCCAGCCGCTTTATATTTGAAGAGAAGGAACGTCAAAAACTTATTTCATTGAAGCAAAACAATTCAAGTTATGAAACTTTTTTGGTGTATATGGCTTTCTTAGATTCAACAGTCACAATCTATCAATTCTTATTCCTATAAAATTCGAGAAAAAAATTTATCAACCACATAAAAACAAAGTAGGAGACCTTGAATTCTTCACAAGATTTCATGTTCTATGTCTGATTATATCCAAAATCTTTAGGTGCAATTACTGAATTAGGCATACAAAAGTGATAATGCTGGAGAAGAGAAATTTCACATTATGTGGCAATGTGATTCACGTCATGCTTGATGCTACAAGGTTGTTCCTAGCCCAAGAAAATAGATTTTATGTGCTTTGGAGAGATTGAAAAAATTTATTGGAAGTTGAAGCACGGTCAATTAACGGTTCCATGAAACTGTAGATGATGGTAAATCAAAATAATAAAGAAACCCGATAAACAAGTTATCAGCAAGTCAAGTACTCGTGCCAGGGGAAAATCAAGCGGGACTGGAGCCGGGACCCTCTCTCCTTTCCTCTTTTCAAGTTCTTGAATATTGTGATCTTGCCACAAATACGGGGAGTTTCAACCAATTTTTGAGATGTGACTAATCCGACCCCTACCCCCACCACCTCAACTCATGAGTATTATCAATCACCTTGAGATGGTATTTCTTTTGTAGTGACCGCCGGTTAAGACTCGTGTATATCCCGTACAACCACAATAAAAAAAGCAGATTCTAACAAATAAGGAATTGTTGACCTATGATTGATTTCATTTTTAATGTTTTGATCATAACAAACAAGATTAATATTATTCCTAACAATTGATTTTGAGTTATGATAGTTCAATGTTAAAATCAATCAAGCATTGCCAAAATCAACACATCATAAATCGAACTCGAAATGAAGATCAAAGTGAAAGTTAAGCATTCAAATCAAATTATTCAAGACGAGAGTTTAAAAGATCAAAATCAAGACTATTAAATCGGGTTCATGAAGAAGGTCAAGATCAAAGTCAAGCATTAAAACAAAACAATGAAAGAAACTTCGAAGCAAGATCAAAAACCAGGCTTTCGAGATCATATGTAAATGTATAACACTTTGATCTTTAGTAATGAATGACAATAGCTCAAAAATCGTTTAGTGCACAAAGTTATTTTCATATCACTTGCATAAAATATTTTTGATCAAAAGTTATATTGATTTTTCAAAGTGATACTCGAATTTATCACATCGCTTAAAAAAAAAAAGTCAACGGTCAACCGAACGTCCGGTATGGCAGTAACGGTCAGTTTTTTGACCTTCGACGCAACAGCTAGTTGATCGTCCGGTATGCAGCGGACGTCCGGTANATGAGTGGCAAACATCCGGATGGTCGTCTGGTTGGGCAAATTTTTTTTACGTTTTGATTGCTACAAATACCACTTCACTTTGCATTCATTATAACAACTAGAAGAATACTTTCTTGATAAATATATTTGAAAAATCATATTTGAACTTATATTTTTACATTCATTTCATTTATTTTTTTATAACAAAAAAATTGATTGTTGAATCAAACTTCTTAAATCATTTTTTCATCAAAGTTTTCCATCTCTCTTTTATGTTAAATTTACTTATATCAATTTTAAAAGAAATATATATTTTTGAAGAAGATATTTACACTTATTTTGCATAAACATTTCTACTTCTTCATATTTAAAATTTTGATTGATTTAATCAAATTTGAAAAATCATCGTATTCATCATAGTTTTTAATTTCTCTCTTACTACTTAATTTATCATAAATTATTCATTGAAAATGATATATTTTTAAAAAAAAAAAGATTTTTGCACTTATATTGCATAAATTTTTCTTCTTCTTCATGTTGAAACTTTGATTGATTGAGATAAAGTTGTAAAATCACCATATTCATCAAAATTTCTCATTTATCTCTTTGTATTTAATTATTACAATCACCCATTAAAAGAGAGATATTTCTTGATAAGATTTTTTTAACCCACATTGTATTTCTTTTCATTTTTCATTGAAATACTTTGATTGATTAAATATAATTTTTGACTATCTTATTCATCAGAAATTTTCATTTAACACCTAAGCCATCATTTATTATTATTATTAATTGAAATGTTAGCCTCTCATAGTACTTAACTTGTTCGTATTATTTATAATTTGATGTATTCCATTGTAAAATCACTTTGATTAAAGTGTGAAGCGTGTTAAAGTCCCTTAAAAATCAACATTGTATAATGATCGGCACTCCTTATTGTAAGTCACCGTGTGGGTTATATTAAGGTCCCGTAAAAACTCAATAGAGGGTCTTGTTGATGTCCCGTAAAACTCAATATTGTACAAGGAATGATTTTCTTTGTTTGTAAGTCACTGAAAGCTTTGTAAATGGTTAAATTGCACCATAAGTCAATTAATATAGAGAAAATGTCTTACTCGTGCCAGAGATCTTGGTAACAAATGACGTAGATCATTGCTTTGGTTCAAACCTCTACAATTGTATCGTTTGGTTCATCTCCCTTTTACTTATTATTTTTATATTTGGGCTTAGTATTTGAATTTATCTATTTAGTCTTTATTTATTTGAATTTAGCTTAATTTTTAGAAAAAGATTTAAAAACAAATTCACCCCCGCTCTTGGTTAGTTATTCTTGTGCTATCAATTGGTATCAAAGTAAGGTGCTCAATTTTAAAGATTTCACAATTTTGAGTAATGGCATACCATATTTTTCAAAATCTTAGGGGCATTCTACAAATCGTCATCCTTTCTTTGATAGTACTCATTATAATTATTGGAAGGCTAGAATGACAATATTTATTCAATCAATAGATTATAATATTTGGGAAGTAATTGAATTTGGTCCATATGTGCCTAATAAGGTTATTAAAGAGGATATGGTAAACTGGATCAAATAATTTCTAAACTAGAAAGGAATATAATGAAGAATATAAAAAAAAATTATCTTTAAATGTTAGAGCCAAAAATATACTTTATTGTGCTTTACATAGAAATGAATTTAATCATATTAGAACATGTGATTTCGCTTATAACATTTGACATACTTTACAAATTACTCATATTGGAACTAGTAAAGTGAAAGAAACTAAGATAAATCTCTTAATTAAAGATTTTTAAAATTTCTTTATGAAAAAAATGAATCGATTGTTGACCTGATCACCCATTTTACTGATATTGTTAATGACTTCAAAAGTTTTGATCGAAAATTTATTAATGGTGAACTTATGAGTAAAGTGTTTAAGTCACTCTCAGAAGAATGGAGTTCATTGAGAATGTTGGTAGAACACACCCAAGATATCAACATATATCCATTGGAAGGGCTCTATGGAACATTGACGACATAGGAGCTAAATCGCACCGAGACAAAGGAGAAAACGTTGAAAAGCAAAGAAGGGAAAATGCGCCAAATTGTATTAAAATCCATAGTTGATGAAAGTACTTCAAGCAAAAATATGAATGATAAAGAACTTGATGATCTAGTTTTTCTTGTTAAGAAATTGAAACGTTTTAGCAAAAATCTTCGATTCCAAAAGAAAGAAGGAAATGGAGGAAAAAATAATAGATTCGTAAAAAAGAAAGCACTCCAAACAACATGGGATGAAAGTGACGATGATGATCATGAAGAAAATGAAAGTCAAGAGGAAATTGCCAACATATGCATTCAAGATGAAAGTAACGATGATAACATTCATCACACAATTGATTAAATCTTTTTGACCACTCCACATGAATATTTTTGGATCATCTAGTATTACAAGCTTAAATGGTAAACATTATGTTTTTGTCACTATTGATGACTCTTCTAGATTATTTGAGTCCCATTGTTTGAACCTAAAAGATGAAGTAATGAATGCTTTTGAAAAATTTTGTAAAAATGTTCACAATAAAAGGAATACACTACTATTACCATTAGGAATGATCATGGTGGAGAATGTGTTAATATTACTTTAGATGATGATTTGTGCAAAACTTATGGTTGTGAACATAATTTTTCGGCTCCTAAAACTCTTCAACAAAATGTAGTAAAACGAAGAATCGCACATTGTAAAAAATAGTTCAAATCTAAATAAAAATAGTTTGCCAAAATACTTTTAGACCGAAGTCGTTAACACTACTTGCTATATTGTTTATAGAATGTCAATTAGTCAAAAGAAAATACAAAACCCCCCTATGAGTTTTGAAAAAATAGAATTTCAAATATCGGTTATTTCAAATTTTTGGTTGCAAATGCTTCATTTTTTAATAGAAAAGAAAATTTTGAAAATTTTAATTCAAAATTCGATATTGGAATCTTTCTAGGTTTTTTATCGACTAGCAAAATTTATAAAGTGTTGAACAAAAAAACTCTAGTCGTTGAAAAATCCATGCATGTTACTTTCGATAAAACTAATATTCTTGATCGTGAGAGAGGTATTACTAATTATGTAGGATCGGAAACTCCTTTCGAACAAATGACTATTCAAGACCAAAATAAGGAAGATACAAGAAATGAACACTCTTATGAGCTCATCAATCGAAATGCATAAAGATGATCAAGGTACTTCCATAAATATAGCAAAATATCGAGGTATGATCGGATCCCTTCTTTATTTAATCACAAGTAGTGTGTGATTGTGTGTTAAATTTCAACTCAATAATCACACCTTAGTGCCAAAAAACGAGATATCTTAGTAGCACTAAAAAAGGAGGATATTGTATTCGAATTTGTGAATACGAAAAATCAATTGATCAATATTCTTACTAAACCTCTCTTGATAGATTTTTATATATTTAAAGATGTCTGGGAATTATCAATGAATTTATAGTTTGTGCCTAAATTGAATTATATTAAATGTTCTCATATGATTGATTCTATGTGCACAACTGATTGAAATTTATTTAAATTCTATTCAAATGATCTCATTTTTGTCATTTAATCACTCATACTTTGATTATTATTTTACTATAAATGTGATAATTATCATCTTATTTAAACTTGTATATATTTGACATTTTGTGCTTAATTGAGGGAGAATATGTTAATATTTTCTATGGTTGATTTAATATTTTGATTTTATATGTCATACTCTTTCACTCATATGTGTTATCGTTTTACTTATACTAAACGGAGAAATTGAGTAATACAGATTTGAAAAGTATTAAAAAGGGAAAATCTTTTATTGTTCCCTATGATTGTCTTTTGATTTTAAATGCTATGCCTTTTTACTTATGTCAAAAGGGGAAAAAATATGAAGTAAGATGATTATACATGATTTGATCAATTTTAAAATCACTTATATGCTTTGAATATATGGTTATTGATTTATAAAATATAGGGAGAATATATGAATTACATGTAAGATTTATAATGTTTATTCATTTATCAATATGATATCAATTGTTCAATTTTATCTTGCAAATCATCTTGTTTGTCATAGTAAACAAGGGAAAAAATTTTGACATATGGTTGATTTCATCATTAATGTTTAGATTATAACAGACAAGATTAATATTGTTTCTAATAATTGATTTGAGTTATGATAGTTCAATATTAAAATCAATCAAGTATTGTCAAAGTCAACATATAAATCAGACTCGAAATGAAGATCAAAGTGGAAGTTAAGCATTCAAGTAAATCATTCGAGACGAGAGTTTAAAAAACAAACGCCAAGAAAAGACAAGATCAAGAGCATGAGAGACATCATCAAAGAAAAATCAAGATGAGAAGTCTAAGAGGCAAATTTCAATGCAAGATCAAAAACTAGATTTTTTAGTTCAAATATAAAGGAACTAATAGTTGTAATATTTAGTGTATTTAGTGATAAATGATAAAAGTTCAAACATTGGTTTATGCACGAAAATATTATTTTACAAAATCACTTCTATAAAAATTTATTTTTCAAATGTTTTCAACTTGATATTTTAAACTTTTTTTACAATGTTACTTACTCCTTCAAAAGCCTAAATCCAAAAA